GGTTTTGCTTCAAACACACATCCTCTAGGGGAGGATTATTGCTTATAAAAGGATTATTCCATATTATCATCTTTAAGGGTTGATTTTATATATTGGCATTTTTAGAAAATGTTAAGAAGGCTGCAGGTATAAAGCTATACTTCAGCTGTGGAAACTGATAGTTTAAACTTTAAATCTATAATTCCACATTGTAGTAGCATTGTTTAGCCTGTGGTTTGAAACCTTTTTTAATACACAAAACATTAATTTACATTTTTTCTTATTATTTAGAAGTAAAGAATGAAGCTAGATCAAGTTATCCAAAATGTTCATTTCAGTTCAAGAATGCAACCACTAATTCACTCGTTGGTGCCAAGCCCACTGAAGGAATCCTGGAACCTGTTCCACTTGTTAATAACCGTAAAGGGAGCCTCTTTCTCTCCAACAGTCCCTCGCTGGTGCACCTTAACTTGTTGAGTTCTGTTGAGCATGGAAAATCTACCTTCTGTAGATTGCAAAGGGCACTCAGTTTGCCTGTAAAATACTGCTACCACCCTCAAAATCCTGGGTTGAACCAAGATCTCTGTAGGTAGCCCCTTAGCTGGATGTATAAGGCAGTACAGATTGGCTTGTGCATGGTTTTATACTTGGAGTGAAATGTGAAAATGACATTACTAATGCTCTAAGTGCTTACAGATGTGGATTTCTTGAGATGTGGTGATTAATAACTTAAACAAGATAGTTAACAAATGCTTCTGGGTGGTTGATGCTTTATCTTTCTTATGGTTTCTTTGCTTAAAATATTTGCATTCTAGGTAACAAGCTTCCTAGGTATTCCAATTTGTATAGTGTTTGGTAGTTTAAAGGTTGTTAGATAATCCAGTTCATTTTGGGGGTCCACAAAAGCCATAAACTGGTTGCTAGCGACCTTGCTGAGGCAATGAAAGAGACTGATACTATTTTTTTAATGCGCTAGCGACCTTGCTGAGGCAATGAAAGAGACTGATGCATTAAAAAAATAGTAACGAAATAAGAAAATAAAAGTTATGAACTTGTCCACTGTTTCTGGAAGACATTTCCTTTATTTGGCTTAAAAAAGAAATGAGGATAAAAGTCAAGTAATATGTTGTTACAGATGTTCAGCTCTGCATTACGGCTGTTAAAATTACCAGCACATCTTAAATCAATTCATGGAACATTGTCTGGAGGTTATGTCATTGAAATAATGAATCCTTTTTTACTCAAGAATAAGCAAACATGTTAAAACATCAGTGTAACTTCAAATTAAACTCCAGCATAAACCAGAGTATCTGAAGCCTCATTAGACTTGCCTGACATTTTTCTAGCACTGAGTCTTCCTGAACTGTAAAACTGTTAGATTCTGTGCCTATTAGACAAGCGAGCACTGGATTGTTACAACAGTATATTAAGTGTTATACTTAGGGATGTGCAAAAACAAGCTCTTGAATTTTATGAGAACTCAGAGGCTGAATTGAGTTCTCATTCTATAAAATTCTATGTCGAATTCCTGAACTTGTCTGTACTTTCATGAAAGCTGGTAATGAAGGTCTGCATAATATAGCATGACTGCACTCTAATACAATTCCCTCAGCATTAAATAAATTGAAAATATTAAAAAATAGGGGCACATTCTCATTAACAGAAGCAGTAAGTTAAATGAACAACTTTAGTGTTGAGTTGCCATATATCACAGCCTGTTATTCAAATACAGATGTCTTTCATGAAAGTGAATAAATTTAAGATTCACTTTAATTTAATTTTTATTTCTCTCATGCAGAAATAGATTCCATGAAATGAAAATATTTTATAGCTGAACTAAAAGTTTTGCTAGTTCTACCTTTCTTGAAATACATAGGAAATTAATAGACTATATAAAAGATAATAATTAAATATGGTTTATAGCCTACTTATGACTAAGAACCCACCTGTGAGTTACGCAGTTCTTTGGGGAACCAGTCCATAGGTAGTGGTTTTCATTACACGCCATTTGTATATTTCAGCTTCATATAATTCTCCCACACCCCTCAACCCACACACATTTAGGAAGTAAAATTACATTTCCAAACTACAGCTGCACTATAAACTCTTTGTACACAAATTTCTTTTAAAAACAAAATCCAGATTAAAATGTGACATGTTTCAATTAGATGATCTTTCATTGCTTCAATGAAAATAAATGACTCCCTTATTTGAGCAAGGCACAGCTTTAGTACAGAAATCAGGTGTCTCAGATGGCTTTGCTAAAAGGTATTAACTTGTGAGAATGTTACCCTAGAACATTGCAGGTAAACTTAATAATACGGCATAAAGACGATGGGTACTTAATGAAGAAAAGAGCTTGTTTATTATAAGTACAACACTAAAAGAAACTGTGCATTTGGTCAGGAAATCCAACTGTAGAGACCATCATTCTGGAAGGCAATAATAATAAAATCTACTTTTACAATTGGCCAGCATGATAATACCATCTGGTGGGACTGGAAAAAACAAATGCTAGACCATGTAAAATAAAAGATTCTCATTGGACTTAACTTTAATGTTTGAAACAGCAAGCATAACTCATTGAAATCAACTGGAGTCTTGGAAAAATAGTTTTATAGCATTTTGCCCTGTTAGAAATATTTCTGTATACAATATCCTTACAGCTGGTCTATATCAAATTAAGACTTTACAAATGCTACTACTGGGTACAGATTTTTTTATACTAGTGACAAAGGTATAAAGATGTACTCTACTTATAGTATATTACTGAATTTCTAATAAAAATTTTCTAGCCCCATGGGAGCTGATGAATTTAGATGAATTTTGAGCTTGTATTTACTGGCAGAGAGAAACATATTATTTGTAGGCGATTTCTGCAAGCAACATTGTGCGTGGTTATTTCCTTTAATCACTTAAGTGATGAGTCCATATGATTTGGACTAACTGTTTATATCCAATAAAGAACAGGAGACTCCAGTATATGTATTAAAAGCAAATTATTGCCTGTGTAGCATAGCATGTGAATAACTGTTTTTGACAGACAAGTTTAAAACAAGCCTTCACCATTTTCCAGAAAATGACTTGCCAGAGAGTGTTATGGAACATAATAAACCATGGTTCTTTATATAAGTAAAGCTGGGCAGACACTGCTAAAAAAAATCTGAGAGTTTACAAACAACAGGATACTGAAGTGATTAAGTTTTATTGCAACCAACTCTGCCAGAGACGGGTAAATGTGCACATTTCAGCATTCATGAAGGAAATGTTTACACTCTCAGCCAATCAAAGAGCAGTAATTTTCACTATGTGATTTATCTCATGAATCACAACTAGGTAGCAGAGTTAGAAATGTGAATGTCAAATATCAGATCACAAATTTCATGATTATTGTGCTGTGGATTTGTAAAACAAAAAATGAAATGGTCAAATGTTGAGGAAATTTCATATTCTTTATGGATGTTCTCTAAACAGAAAAAAAAAGTCTGACTTGGTCTAATGAATTATTTGTTGTCACTTGTTCATCACTCAGTTTTAACGACAACTACTATAACTTCAGTGTTTTGCGGCTTTAAAAAAATCCCAGGATTTGTTAGACAATGCTAGGTCATTTAAGAAGACAGCAATGTTGCCTTTTCAGGGCCCAGTCCTGTAATCTTGATGAAGGCAAAATGAAGTTCCATAACATACTCCGGAAGACAGACATGACAAGCTAGAATGCGGGCTGTAAGAAAATAGTGTCAGAAGAGGATTGTTGCAGAAGGATATTGTTTAATTCATTTTCAGATAAATCTAGAACAGGTGACATGTCTAGGTCTGCTTTTTTCTTTTTCAGTATAGTTCATTGCAAATAGATTTTCTTTCCAGCTGCTGCTTGTGCACTGCTCATGTGTATTAAGCTCCTTTAATGTAGCTGCTACGACTAATCTCTTTCCTTTTATCTTTAAGGTAACAGCTACTTAGTCCTCAGTTACATTGTCTTCTAGTCTGTTTTTCAATTAACTATGGGATGGAAAAGAGACTATTTTTTCCTTCTTGATATTACAGCGTTAGTCTGAATTTGAGAAACCACCATTCACAGATGATTCCCTTTGATAGCAAGCATAATACTTATGTGTGCTAATTATCCTATGCAGTAGCTATCCCTTAAACAGAAATGATAAAGGTTAATATTAACATATAACTTGTTAGAAAAATGTGCTTGTTTAAAGCAAATAGCATTATGTGATAGGTAATCCACTGCTGTACACTTTATAGTAATCGTAAGTGATTTTGCATTTGGAAAATGATCTTTCATTTAAAATGCACTCCATCTTCATTAAAAGATCCTTTGCTACAAGGATCCTCTGTTATACAGGTGCTATCCCTCACTACCATTCCACCATATTCTGCTCATTCCTGTTATAACAGCTCCCCTTTGTGACAAAGGTGGAGTGATGAGGTCTGAGTTGTGCTGGAGATCTGTGCACAGTTGCGGGCAACGTTCACAATCCCGACTAACCACAACATTAAACATCAAGGCATTGAATATTTTACATCTCTTCATGAAGACTCTGTTGTCTGGCATGTGAGAATCAAGAACCAGTTGGTCTCTGGTTCATTAGCAAAAGCAGGCTGGCAGCTATGATGTTGGTATTTCAAATAGTACTTTATTTTTCTGTCTGTATAGCTAAGCACTAATTCTACTTTTCAGTAGCACAGATTAATTGAAAATAACTCAGAGAATAACATAAAGGCCGTCCCCCGACATACACACCCTTTTTTTTGTTTTTGTTTTTGGTTTAGAAGTATGAAACCAATTTGAACGTCTGTGTTCAAAACCCTGGTTTTCTTCCCTCCTCCTCCAACCTGATCTTTTTGACTAACACATTTGATATTTTTTATACTGTTGGGCCTAAAAAGTTAGTAATGAAGTATCAGTGTGTGAATGGACGTTGAGTGTGTGTTCTTTGCTATGTCACTTGTATTTCGTATATGCATTCAGAGTGGTCCTTAATCTCATGAGGTGCCTCTATTTCCAGTTGAAGATGAACAACCGTCAACACTGTCACCCAAAAAAAAGCAGCGAAATGGAGGCATGCGAAATTCACCCAACTCCTCACCCAAACTGATGAGGTAAGACTGTAAGAAACTCATATCTTTATCTTCTTTACTTCCTCTACACCTCCCCCTTCCTCAAAAAGGGGAGGAGGGGGTTGAAGAAAAAGATTGTTAGATGGTTTCTGAAAGGCTGAAGTATTTATTCTGTCAGCTTGTCAGCAGTTAATGATAGAGCTGAAAAAAATTCTGTCATGAAAAACAGTTTGAAAAGCTGTTTGAAAAATACATAGGCTTTAAAGTCTTAGCTGTCACCCTGTCCTGTCCATGTGTAGTTCTTAAACAGCAGTGGCATTAATGATAGCACTAACCAATCAGAGGAACTCATGTGGTTAGCTTGCCTCAGGCAATTCTCTTTTTGTTGGAATCCCTCGGAGTACTGTTTTCTGTACTTAAGGCCATATGTGAGATGTATCATCACAATCAAAAATGAACCTGAATATTACCTTCCTTTTATCCTGTCGATTGAAATCAAATTTCTGTTAATTGATTTTGACCAATTTAAAAAAAAGTCTAATAATCTATGTACTTGCCGAAGCAAAGTTCAAAACTAATGCAGTTTTACTCAGGCTAAAAGCAATATTAATTATGAAATACAGAGGGTTTTTTTTTTAAGAATAGTACATACTTTGAAAGTGGATGATAAAAACATCTTGTGATTGCTAATGAAATTTCCTTGCTGTTGTTGGATATATAGTATTTTATAATAAGGAAACTCTCCTATATTAAAGTAATTCCTTTCCATAGGGCAATTTTCCTTTAAGCTCAGGTTCCCTGCAATTGGAATTGCAGTTGGGTTACTCTACTACATTGACGTGATATAGCACTTTCATTCTGCTTTTCTCTCTGCCTTCCTCTTCTCCCGTCATAGTCCATGGGTGTAAGATCAGGCTCAATGGAGTTGTCTTACATCCAAGTTCTCTACAGGCAACTTGTTCTACTCTGTTTATGTCTACACATAAGGAAGGGGCCAGGATGGAACTCCAGTTTAAATTTATCTCCAGATCTCAGTATCATACCTCAGACTCCTCTCTAGTGTATGTGTCTGTATACACTTAAAGAGGCAGGCACACATGCATGCTTTTTCTGTATATTTGTAACATACATGTATTGCTTTGCACCGTTCACTGCTTCATGGTAGCAGCCATGTTCTCCTAACAGTTACAGAGTCAGATGATTTTCCCTCTCCCCCGGTAACTCAGTCAGTACAGTGGGAATTTCCTCAGCCAATTCAGGAAGCATCCTCTTCTGTTTATCATTCCTACAGTTTAGGGCATATGCAAGGACATAACTTTTTACGTCTTCTTCATCTGTATTTTAACTGTAGGACCAAAAGTGAGATTGATTCACTGAAGAAAATGCACCCGGCTGTGTCTTTTTTTTCCCCCATTGACCATCTATTTCTGTTAAATGTATCGTTAAAAGTTCTCTGCCTTCCTGGGAACACAGCCTTGCCTCTGTGACACTGATTTACATGCTTGTTTACAGTTTCCGAAGAAGAATAAAAAGAGCATTCTGCCAAGCTTCTCGTTTTTATGACGCCCATTGTCATGCTAGCTTCGTTTTCAATTTACTCACCTTTGAGTAATCTTCTTATCTGGCACTAATAGTTGTACCTGTTTAAAGCTTGAAAAATGTGGGAACTTCCCTCTTTAACCCTTAAATTTAGGGCAGTAAAACATTTTTAAAAGACAGAGAGAACTGAAACATTTGTAGCTGAGTGCACTGTCCCTGTTTGCTATGTAAAGTATGCCTCATTTCTTTGATCTTGAGTAATAATAATTCTGGGGAGTTATACTGTTTTCATATGCTTCAAAGCTATGTCAAAGTTTTGCTGCTTAAGGGTACTTCTTTATTCTACTGGCTCTTGGGTACTGAGATGACAGGTCCTCTGTACTAGGTGCAGGCTTTTTCAAGTCATAGCCTTCAGCAAAACATCAAATTACCAAATACAGGGTAACATACTTCTACACAAATGCCTTTCCTGTAGATATATTATACCATATATATTAAATACTTTAGTGTTACACGGTGCATTTTATGTGCAATAGAAAGTGATGGTTTGAGGTAGCCTTAGGGGTACTTTTTTTTCCACAAGCAGAAAAAGCTAGTGTATACCGTATCAAGTATGGTTTTTACAGGACTTTCTGCCCGAAGGCCTTTGTAAATAAGTAATGATCAACAGATTGGCTGTGGGTTTTTGAAAAGCATGCCTGTGTCAGTTTGCATGATGGGGGAAAATTTTCAAAGTGGAGCCTGCTTTCATTGCCTGCCGAAGAGGGACTGAGGGAGAATCGTCAGCCCAAGCTTGGGCTGTCGGCTCAGTAGCACATCAGAATTGCTAAACACGGGTCGAGCAATGAGTGGAGAACTTGCCAAGCCTCTGAATCCAGACTTTGTTTTCTTTCTCCTCTGTCTTGCTGCTGAATTTACTTACCCCACCCTATGCCCCCTCCCTCAATCCTTACCCATATCCCATAGCCTTTCTGCCACTCCGTTCCTGATAGATATTAATTCCAATTCGTTCCTGTGTTCTCTACTTTGAGAGCTCTGAGCTACAGTTCAGTCTGCCATATCTATTTTCCTTGTAAGCTGTGCAGTGATCAAATCCTCCCCTCTGCACATTAATGTAGGCTCCTTTACCTAATGTTTAATACCTTAATGATTGAAATTGAAAGTAGATACCATCCATGGGCGGCAAACTATTTTTCCCTCGCTAGAAGGAAACATTGTCTATTTCTCAGTGATATTAATCAGGAACCTGTGTTGGGGAGGTCAACACATTTCAATTTCAAAGTGCTTCTAAGTTTTGATGAAAAGGACTTTGATAGGGCAAATAGGACACGCACTGGCAATGAGGGAGTTGCAGAGAGCTCGTGTGTCACGGCTCAGCTAAACTTGAAGCCGGTGTCACACATGGAGAGGTGAGTTGACAGGAAGAGAGCAGACGTGAGCTGCTTCCTCAGGGAAGCAGGTTCCAGCCAAAAGCGTAAGATAGTTTGCTACGAGGAAGCCATTTTGTGGATGGGATGTATAGCTCAAGAGGATGGACAAGAATGAATGAGTCACATGGAGACAGAAGGATGTGCTCTGACTGCTGAATCCCCAGTGGACCAGATTTTTTTATTCTCATTATATTTTTAATTAATTATGTGAAGAATCAACACCTTTTTCATTTGGACTTTTGGAGAGCGTATGACTCCAGTGTGCCTTTGGCTGATTGTAGCAGTGGTCCTATGGCCTGTCAGGGTCCCACAACTGTGAAGTCATGCCCTGAAGCTCACAAGGGGGGTGACACTTGACTTATCTGAGAATTTAATCAGAGCTCTACAGAGTGTTACTTCCTGATTAGCCTTACAGGTGGCATAGGGGCCTCTACTGTACAGAGAGCAAACCAGTGTCACCCCCTTGTGGACTTCAGGGCATGATTTCCCTGCTGTGGGCCCCTGACAATTGGATGTAACCCCTTGCAGGACCATGGCTGCAGCAAGGAAGAGGTTGCGTGTCTCCTTGTGCGCCAGGGGCAAAACGCCCATGATAGCTCTTTCCACTGGAACACAAAGGATAAGCAGCAGGGATGTCATGAGCATGGCCAGCAGGTGCATGAACAGAGAGGTTTGGGCAGATCAACGAATTCTTACTCTAAAGTAAACCTAAGCTCAGATGTTTTTGAGATTCACCCAGCACTATACAAATCCATATTACCTAATTTGATGCAGGCCACAAAGACTGTAAAACTCTATTTTTTCCATGCAAGAAGCAAACTCAATGGCTCGCAGAGGTAAATAGTTGTGAAGTGTGCAAATTTCCTGGAGATACTAGAAATGTTTTAGGTGTATATTGGAGATTCAGGAAATTGAATGTGATGCCAGTATCATGCTAGCACTGCACCTCCAGTGAAAATCAGTGAAATGTCACTGATATAACATAAAACAGGAGGAATGCGGTGATGAATCAGGCACAGACTAGTTATAACACTTGATATATAAACTGACAAACTGAATAAACATTTAGGGTACAGCTACACTGTCTTTTTTTTTCAGAAGAGGAATGCAATTAGTGCTTGCATTTTCATACCTTCTTCCATTTTTTTCCCCCCGGAAGAGGCTTTTGCACCATTTAGGGTCAAATGTCGGGAAAAATCCCTCTTTCGAAAGCCCCTGTAAACCTCATTTACGAGGAAGAAGGGGGGGCTTTCAAAAGAGGGTTTTTTCTGACTTTTGGCCCTGTATAGACAGTGTAGATGGGGCCAAATGGTGGAAAAGCCTCTTCCAGGGGGAAAAAAAAGGAAGAAGGTATGCAAATGCAAACAGTGTTTGCATACCTCTTCCGAAAAAAAGACAGTGAAGCCGTACCAGTAGGCAATAAAATAGAAAACACATATTGGGCCAGATCCTGAGTTGCTGTTATTAGCATAGACCTCTTGATATCAATGGAGCTACTCCCATTTACACCAGCTGAGAATCTGGTCTTTTAAATCCACCAGAGTAATTTTGCTATAAGATAACTTAAAACAAAAACGCAACCACAAACTCTAAAAGGGAAGAGAGCAGGCTTCTTACAGACTTGTCCTAGACACAGCAAGACATCCCGTGAGGCCACATCACAAAATGAAAAGGGAGAATAAGAAAGAAAGAAACAAAACAAAACATAGCAGAGTAACGGTGACATAAGGTTGCTTTCCTTAGGGCCTTTGTTTTGTTGCAAGGGAATGTATATCTCTTAATGACCTGGGGAGCACCAAATGTTTGCATATTGCCTTTTTACAGAGATCATGAGATGATGAGCATGTCGTTGACATGTTAAATGTGACTAGGCTATCTCACCCAGTGTATGTGGTAGCTAAGCTGGTCAAAAAGTAGTCCCCTTGGATTCAAATGTAAAAATTTTGAAAAGTCCTGGACAGAAACCAACAAGCCACTTAAAAAACTGTTGACAGGGTCTAAGTTCTTTCTTAATGACTTGGTAACTACTGCTGGAATGCACTGAGTAGCAGAAAATGTCAACCCAGTTGAGTC